CCGGAGAGTCGGAGGGAGTCCAACCGGAGCGGCCAGGTCGGTCGCGAAAGGGCCGCGCCTGACGTCCGGGGGCCGCAGGTAGCCACGTTCCCACCGCCCCCGGGGCAGTTTCCGGGCTCGCCCTCGGAGCCCCCCTGGGGTCCCTCGAGAGCGTCCGGGCGGGGCCCCGGGGCGAGCGCACCTGGGAATTGCCCCCTCGACCGCTCGTCCCGCCCCTCCCCCCACGCCCAGTCTCGCCTGGGAATCGATCCTTAAAAGCCGTCGGATGGAATTTTCTGGAGAAGAGGGTCTTCCCGAGGGTCGGGGTCTCTGTCGTCGGTCGTTTTCGAGACTGCTGTGGCTCGAGAAGTTGTTTATCTTGGTCTCTGCAGCGCCCAGAGTCACTCCCGACACACAGTAGGCCCTCACTCGGATGCGAGTGTGGCGTTCGCAGCGTCTCAGGGTGTGTGCTTCGGGGGTCAGGTTGTCTTGGCCGGCGGGACTGTGCCCTGGTCTTTCCCGTGCGCCACAGTTCCAGCAGCTTTCGGGGCCACCGTTCTCTCGTCTTCCCCGTCCCCCAGTTGTCCCCAGCCAGCGGTTTCTGCTGTTCCACAAGAGGTGCCCCTCTTCCAAGAAAGCCAAAAAAATTGTCATCTAATGGCTGTTTCTTGACCTTGGCCCTCTGGCTTTAGAGACAGTCTTGGGGTCTGCCACTTACCAGCTGTGTGTGTGCCTTGTGTGCGTGTTTCTTAACCGTCTGTAATCTGTGTCCTCACCTGTAAAATGGGGAAAAGAATAGTGTGGACCTCATAGGACTTCAGGGAAGGTGCAAAGTGAATAATGTAGAGCCGGGCTCGGTGGCTCAGCCTGTCATCCCGCGCCTTTGGGAGGCTGAGGTGAGTGGATTGCCTGAGCCCGTGGGTTTGAGACCCGCCTAGGCAACGTGGTGACCTCATCTCTACAATAAATCAAAAAATCAGCTGGGCGTGGTAGCGCATGCCTGTAATTCCGGCTACTTGGAAGGCTGAGGCGGAAGGATCGCCGGAGCCCAGCAGGTCGAGGCTGCGGTGGCCGGGAGCGGCCACTGCCCTCCAGTCTGGCTGGCGGAGTGAGACTCCAACTCAACAAAAAAACAAAAACAAAGTGAATAATGTATTTAGAGTACTTAGGTCAGTGCCTGGCACATCATACCTGTGCTGTATATGGTAGCTTTTGTCGGTATTTTCCCCTCACATCTTCTGGGATCTTGCTGTAATAGTCTCTCCCATGAGCTTAAAAATACAGAGTGTCCCTGTCCCCTGGCTGTTTGTTCCTTCCCATCGCATCGTTTTGGAAGGAAAAAGAAAGACATTGTCATATCAGACAGGCTATGTGATCCTTCTCGTCTATTTCATTTTCACATGACTCCACTGGAATTGTTCCGAACAGGATTATGTATGAGTAAACTTGCATCTCTTTTTAATTGTTATGGTTCTCAACTTGTAAAATTTTGCCTCTACACTTTCCACAGGTGCATCACTCCTATCAGTAGCAACTCTCTTTATATGCTGTATCCTCAAATAGGGGCAATTGAGAGCAAGTGTGAAGTCCCTCTTCCCAAGAGATTCTGACATATTCTTCCTCCTCTCCCTTTCTGGCCTTTGTGATTTCAAGAGTATAATCTCAACTATCATCAGGATGCCAGTGAGTGCCAAATCACAATACCTAATGTTTTCTATGTGACACATTTCCAGCTCTCTGTTAGATATCTGTACTTGGATGTCCTACAGGCAACATGTCTTCATTGCTTCTCCCTTGCAATGCAGTGAATGACTGTTTGCCTTGTTAAGAAAGCTAGATGCGGGTTCGAGACCCACCTGGGCAGCAAGACCTCATCTCTACAATAAATCAAAAAAAATCAGCCGGGCGTGGTTGCACGTGCCTGTAATTCCAGCTACTAGGAAGGCTGAGGCGGAAGGATCGCCAGCCACTGCACTCCAGTCTGGGCAACAGAGTGAGACTCCAACTCAAAAAAAAAAAAAAGAAAGCTAGAAATTGTAGGGTCATCTTTAACAGATGGAGAATTTCATTAATTCAGCAGATATTCTTTTATTACTTACCAACCTGCCAGGTCCTTTGCTGAGAGCTGGAGATCCAGTGAGAGCGGGGGAACAGAACAGAGATGGTCCTGGTCTTCATGACATAGTACAATGGGTGAGATGGACATTTCTCCAGGAATCCCACAAAAATGTAATCATGAACTGTCATGCAGGGAGAGGACACAATGGTGTAAGAAGTTTATTTATTTAATTTTATTTTTGAGTTGGAGTCTCATTCTGTTGCCCAGGCTGAAGTGCAGTGGCATGTTCATGGCCACTACAGCCTCAGCTTGCTGGGCTTTGGCGATCCTTCTGCCTCAGTCTTTCATGTAGCTGGAACTACAGGCATGTGCCACCATACCCAGGTAATTTTTTTATTTATTGTGGAGATGAGGTCTCACCAAGTTGCCCAGGCTGGTCTCAAACCAGTGGGTTCAGGCAATCCTCTCAACTCGGCCTCCCAAAATACTGGGATTATAGGCATGAGCCACCATATCCCGTGGTTTATTTTAGTTTTTGAGTTGGGGTCTCACTCTCTTGCCCAGGCTGGAGTGCAGTGGCTCGCTCACGGCCACCACAGCCTCGACCTGCTGGGCTCAGGTGATCCTTCTGCCTCAGCCTTCCGAGTAGCTGGAACTACAGGCATGCATTACCACTCCTGGCTTATTTTTTTATTTATTGTGGAGACGACGTCTCACCAAGTTTCTCTGGCCGGTCCTGCTTAGCCTCCCAAAGTACTGGGATTATAGGCTTGAGCCACCATACCTGACCAGTAAGAATTTATAATAGAGAGCCCTACCTAGTAGGGAGGAGAGAGGATGGCCAAGGGAGGCTCAAAATTACTTAAGCCAGCCGAGCTCGGTGCCTTAGCCTGTAATCCCGCGCCTTGGGAGGCTGAGGTGAGTGAACTGCCTGAGCCCATGGATTCAAGCCCCGCCCGGGCAGCGAGACCTCATCTCAACAATAAATCAAAAAATCAGCCAGGCGTGGTAGCGCGCGCCTGTAGTTCCGGCTACTTGGAAGGCTGAGGCGGAAGGATCGCCGGAGCCCAGCAGGTCGAGGCTGCGGTGACCGGGAGCAGCCACTACACTCCAGTCTGGGCAACAGAGTGAGACTCCAACTCAAAAAAAAAACAACAACAAAAGAAAAAAACAACAAACAAACAAACAAAAAATGAGCTGGGCATGGTAGCAAGCGCCTGTAGTTCCGGCTATTTGGAAGGCTAAAGTGGAAGGATTGCAGGCGCCTAGCAGGTTGAGGCTGTGGTGGCCGTTAGCATGCTATTGTGCTCCAGCCTGGGCAACAGAGTGAGTCTCCAATTAATTTATTGTAGAAATGAGGTCTCACCATGTTGCTC